TCGGTAGAAGGTGTACATCAGGGGTACTCAAACTTTTTTATTAAAGGTCCACTTGGGAATTTTATACAAGTTCACTGGTCCAGATAAATGACAGTAAAGTCCCTCGGAGCGGAGCAACGAAACTGAAATTAAGAAGCAGTTTCTTACGGCGCGCTATGCATGGGGCAACGACATGTTTCCCGACATGTCGTTGCAGTAAATTAAAGGGTGTTTCATGTTGTCGTTGCTGTAGACCTTCTTAATCTACCTTCTTTGGGGGCCCCCTTCTGGTCCAAGCACTTGCCTGTCGGCAAACGGCGCCCCTGTATACACACACACATTCAATACATACATATGGTGGCTTGAACTAGTGGGAGAAATGGCACTGTTTGTCTGTAGTCAATGCCTTGAACCTCGGCAAAAAAGGCATTTGAAGCATTAGAAAGTCAAGGTTAACTTGCGGTCTGCAATGCGTGTCACGCTCGCGCACTCAAGTAAATATATATGCACGTTCATTCTCACAACGCGTCAGACACAAGAAAATATACATTAATTTACATCAGAATCAGAACGTCTTTATTTTTTTATTTTGTATAATTTTTTATTTTTTATAATGGGACACAGGGTTCGGTCCGGATTGATTTGCAGTTCGGTCCGGATCCGGACCTTGGTCCGGAGTTTGAGAAGCCCTGTCCTATAATGTCTGATAATCTAATGACTGCATGTAATGACACAAGCTATTATATTTTTATCCTGGTCAGTTTTATAGGGAGCGAGAGGTGGTGTAAACAATGAAAAGGTCTCATGCGTTACAACACCTAAAATGTCATGTTGTTCCTCTGTTTTCAATTGAAAACAAAGATAATTCTACCACATGAACAACACAAATACCAAAACTCCACCCCCACATACAAGTTAGAAAGAAAAATAGAGAGAAACAAACCAAAAAGAAAGATAAATCACTTCACAGAAGACTTCATGTGTGGAAAATCCCATTATTTGATATTAAAAAAATCTTGTTTCATATCTTGTGTCAGGCCCACTTAACTTTAGGGAATTAGATTATTCTGTATGATGCTCTTCTATCTTATTTTTTATATTTCCATTGTCCTCTGCCTCTTCGAGTTGCACATGTGTGAATGAAAGGTCAAAAGGTGACTCCAACATGTGTCAAATACCGACATTAAAGTGTGGTTACTCTACCGGATGACCTGATGAACATGTGGGAGTGCATATGGGTAAACTGCCTGTATGTCCAGTTCTAAACATGTGCGTGTGTGTGTAATTTACAGCTTGTTGACATGTTGTTTTCTCTCTCTCTGCCCTGAAGTGTGTGTGTGGCCGTCTGTCAGTGTCTGTGCTTCTATGCCACAGTCTGTTGTCGTAGAAACGTCTCCTCGGCAACAGAAATCACCACAGTAACTCGACATCATCACGCCGCCCACAAGCCACTCAGCAGAGAACAGTCGCTGACACAGAGTAACCTACTGTTGAGTGTGTGTGTGTGTGTGTGTGTGTGTGTGTGTGTGTGTGTGTGTGTGTGTGTGTGTGTGTGTGTGTGTGTGTGTGTGTGTGTGTGTGTGTGAGAGAGTGTGTGTTAGCCCGTAAGTCAAAGGGAGGAGGACTTGGTCATCAACTTCTGGCAGGGGAGAAGGTGAAAGACAAGCGAGAGGCAAGAAACAGAGAGAGATTGAAAGAGCAGTGCATGGAGAACGGAAGAGAGAGAGAGAGAGCAAAGGAGCAATCAACACTTAAGTAAAGAGAAGGAAAGGTCAACGGAAGAGGGAGGTGAGTGGGTGTCAGACTGAAGGAAGGAGAGAATAGGATGAAGGAGGAGATTCAGATGTAAAGAGAGGGAGAACAGGATCGAGGATGGGAGAAAGGAAGGTTTTCAGCACAATGATGAAGGCTGGAAAAAAAAATGTAAAAGTTGATAAGAACTTCAACCCTAAAATGACCATTTGTGTATCAATTCCTCACCCCATGTTATGAATTCTTAAAGAAAAAATGTTTTTTAAAACATTATATACAGTGTAATCAAGTCTAATTTATTCAAATGTATTGCTGTCGAACCACATGCATTTCACTCTATGGTGATAGACTACTGTTATACATGCTGATGTAACGCAAATGTTTCCAACTTGGGATCAATAAAGTATATCTTATCTTAAGTGCATGTGTCAGGCTTATCAATGAACAACAGGAGGGGTCACAGACATAAGACCAGCTGTTAAATAAAGCTCTTCTGACCTTAGCTGGCATGTGGGTATATATTAATGCTGCCCATTATGGGCACAAGCAATTTTCACCCATTTATTAATTATATGTTTTGAATTTGAGTGTTTCCTATCCCCTAAACCTCCAGGGATGTACACAGTATACTGGCAACTTCTTATTATGGGAAATACGAAAAAGTCTTTTAAAACTACAACTCCCAGTAGAGACGTGCCATAGAGCATGTTGCAAAACACACAATAGCCAGCGTGTGTAGTTCTGGGGGCGGGATGGGGGAGGGGGGGANGTAGTGTAGCTAAGCTAACTCCTTTGTATGTATGGTGATATAGTGTCTGCCGAAAGAGCAACACTTCACCCAGACAATGTCAATATGCTGTTGTTCTTGAACAAGAACACATTGACTTGTACTCTTGCATATTGAGTCTTGTATGTACATCACTATGTATGTAGTTGTGTTGTGTAGTTAGTAACACATGTAGAGTTCTAGAAAAGACATGGTGTAGACACAAGTTGGAAGGGGGCACAATAAACCTGACGAGTTTGAATTTGAGTTGATTATGAGTTTATTTTCAATTGATAATTAGCTCACAATAAGTTCACTTTAGTTACTCACACAACTTGACACAAGTCCGGACTTATAAGTCCGGACCTGAACCTGAACCTCTGGACTTGAGTCCGGACCTGAACCTGAATGTGAGTCCAGGTACACAGCACTAGGCGTAACCCTCGGAGCACACTCAAACATCCAAATCACAGAGCTTGAGGACTATCACGGGGTTTGTCAAGCGAAGCGGAGAGAATACTTACTTCCGGGTGTAATTTTCTCCAAAGCAAATGAGCTGCTCCGACCCTCGGTCCTGACGGACTCCAACTTGTGTTTATTAATCAAACAAATAAATAAACACGAGGATGATTATGTGTTATTGTTGAGTAAATGGAGAATTACACAGGGGAAAATAACGTATCTATGCCACAATTTTAGATGCAGATTTTGTTAAACTAATACGTTTGCGCTGTGGACCAACAATATAAATTGATGGGGAAGTGGGTAGCAATAAAGATAACACCATTAAACAGTTAGGGAGAAATTTGAAGATCACGTGACATAGACGCCAGCCATTGGAATGAATGGTGAAAAAAAAACGTAGGGATCTTACAATTTCAGAGGCGTTTTTGTGGAAATACACGTTTTTTTATGAGACTGGGTTGGTTAATTGCACAAGACACAACATATGTAAAGGAAAAATGGGAAAAGGAAGGAAATCTTACTCTAGACTTGGAAATATGGGAAAAGCTGATTAAGCAACAATGGAGATCTACATCCGTCCTGACCTG